ATGTATGGTAACCATGACAACAATCTTTTAAAAGCGTTCTCTTCTCCTTCTCATCATGTTACTTTGAGATAGAAGTATCATGAAGCTCTTTCTGATAACTTCATTCACCAATTAAAACAGCTTCGAAGACCGATGGAATCAGAAAGTGAACAGCTTGCACGTGAAAGCATACAACCATCTAACTAACAAACAAACAAACAAACAAAGGCGAAATGCCGATGACTGCTTGTCACTTCAATTTCCTATTCAGAGGATTTGTTGTAAGAAGCTCTACGATGTCAAGTGATTATCAGCAAAACATTAAAGCCATATTAGGTTATTATGGCAGAATTAACGACGCCGCCAGCAAGCCATATCACTTGTTGTTGAGCTATGACATGACGTTGGTAAAGCACAAAAGCAAAGACAAAAACTCCAATGGATTGTGGTTGAAGAGTCAACGATTCAGCCCGTAGAGCCATTTCCAGCTACTCGTTTCCATGAGTTGCGTTGTCTTTTGGAATCTTTGGCTTAAAATCGGAAGCATAGCTCAGTCACTGATGCAACTCTCTCTCTCTTCTCTTCGTTCAAAGTCAGATGATCGTGATGCCCATTCACGGCATAAATAATTGTTTTCACAAATGTCTAATGTCGGTCCATACAAATGATATGAGGAGAAGTCAGCACAAGCAATCACGAAACAAAAAAAAATTAGGAAAAAAAAATTAGATTTGAGTTGAGTTGAGTTATGTAGTTGCATGAGAGACCGATCAGATCACCTGATCACAGTCGAAACAAGCAAAGACAATGATCATCAGTCGACGGGAGAGAGGGGGGGGAGCATGCGACTTGTTTACAATGTCACTTCAAACTACATACAAACAAACTACAAAAACTCGTTTTTCCTTATTTAACCCAAAAAAATAAATTACAAATTAAAAATGTAAAATACCAGAATCAACATTCTTGAAATTGAAATATGGACTTGAATTTGAAGAAATGACACTTGATGTCACCTGAAAACGGCTCAATACTGTTTAAGTACGTTTGAGCGAGTCTATTAAGCATAAGCATGAAGCCAAAATATATTTTATAAAAGAGGGAGAGAGAGAGAGAGAGAGAGAGACATACTTTATATGGATACAAACACTTTGTGTTGTATTATTATAAGCAACCGCTCTCCACGTCTCACAAATAGGAAATGACTTAAGCGTTCACGTACGATTTCACGTGAAAATTCAAATGTAACATAGCATGGATATATACACGTGGAAACTCACGTGGTTAGCACATGGTAACAAGGTTATGCTAATAGCTAATAACAGGAATCAAAACAAAAATGGTTGAGAGAGCAATGAGATATGAAGGCAGAGCTTCACCTCGTTTCCATTTCGGTAGAGTTGATGAAGTTGAAAGGGAATCGAAGAAACTAATACTTTGAAGTCTAATTAGTCAGTTCGATAGTCTTGGACTAACACATAGTCTCATCCCTTCATCTCTCTGACTGTCTCATCTCTCTCTAACCCTTTCTCTCTCATTTCCGGTACATTGTTTCATACGTGTATTTTGGAAAGAGGAACCATTTTTTTGTGAGAAAAAAGTCTGACAAATTTGCTTTTGAATGAATTAGAGAGGAAATGCATTTAAATCTGAAATAATGATGTAAATTCGATGAAAAGAATGAATTATTACCATATATGGAAGGAGAAAGAGAAAATAAAATATAAAAAGGACTTTTGAATTGAAATTGCAATGACCGAGACCGAGATGTACGTGAGATGTTTGTGTGTGTGTGTTGTTGGTTTGTTGATATCCGCGTAGACAAGTTCCGTATTTGGTGTTAGCAGTGAGGATGCTAGTAAGATAGCAGAAGAGTTGTATGATGAAAGCTATTCTGGTTGTTAAAGTCAAAAAGAAGAAAATTATATTTTGATGATGAAAACACTCAGATGAAAGTGTTTATCATGGAGTCATCTGAGGCAATTGCTGTTGGAGAATGTGTTGGTGAGGAGGGGAAAGGTGGTTATTGACTTTTGATATTAAATTAATTGGAAATACCGGTTTTAATGAGATGAGGAGAGAGCTTTGATGAAAATGAAATTAATGATGAAAAGCTCTGCTTTTGGCTAAAATATAACGAATCGTAGGATGTATGAAGTGGATACTTTCTCAAAGAACCGTGTGAATGAGCATGAGCGTGTTGGAAATGGAAATAGGGTTGAAGCCAGTTAAGAAAGGAAAAAACTCGAACAGAAAGTCTCAAGTTTAATGAAATGTGAGCAAATGATATCAATTTTGAAATTTAACCAAATTTCCATAAACGGAAGTTAAATTTCAAGTTTTCGAGAGATTCGAGAGCGATGGGACCATGAAGCGCATATGAAGCATCTGATAGTCTGCAAATGAAAATGGAAAAAAACCGCAAATGATGAATGTCTCCTGAGCGAGAATAATCGCCATTTGGAGGCATGATGCTCATCTATGATGCTCAACAGCTTATCCGTCACGGCTATCTGTTTCATTGTGAATGACTGAAGCATGTTTCAAATGGCATAAAAGCCTTCCCAAACCTATATCTCTATTACTTCATTATTGTCAGGAGCAGCAATGAGGGAGAGAGAGAGAGATGCTCAGAGCAAGACAGGACAGGAGAGGAAGAGATAAAGGCAGATCTGCATTTTAATGGCAAAATGCTTTTCTATAATAAATGACAAACAAACACTTCTGCATGCGAGACGAACAGGCAGAGGAAGAAGGAGGGAGTGAGCGAGAGAGAGAGAGAGAGAAGGAAAAAACGGAAAAAAAATTATTTTTCTTCCATAAAAGGTCAAAATGTTTGTGGAGAACGCAGTGAGCAGAAAGAAAAAAAAGGAAAAATCTCTTGTTGGTTCGAACAGCGACGACCAATGACTCATCAGCTTATTGAAAACTTTCAACTCATCCGGAAGTTTAAAACAAAAATAAAAAATAAAAATAAGTCATCCATTTTCCTTTTTTCCTGTCCGTCCCATGCAAAATTGAAAAAGCGATCGTAAGAATTAGACGATTCAACTTCAGAAATGAATCTTTAGTTGAGAAAATCTCATGGAAATGAAAGTGAATTTGTACAATTCTGTCATTGTTTTAGCTTCGAAACAAAAAATGTGTGGAAAGGAGGTGGGGAAAGGGAGAGAGAAGGGGATTGAGACAAGCAGGAAGGGAGTTAGGGACAGGTAGGGATGACGTTGGATGATATCAGAAGTAGTACATCTTATAGCTTCTCAGATAAGACGATTTGAAAGCTCAAAAAAGGGAGAAAAGACATAGTGCTAAAGAGAAACGGAAATGTTCAGTTGAAACATGTCTGACGACGTTTCTGAAAACATCAGGAAACTTCTGGCTATTCAAAGACATAACAATCACCTGGTATTTGTATGTTTACTGGAAGTAGGAAGGGGGGGGGGTTGGTTTGAAACAAAAGCTTAAATGGCTGAAAGCTCTTCAAAAGAAATTTCAAACTGAAACGGTTCATGCAGATTGGAAAAAGGTTCAAACTTGAAGTGATCTTGAGGTTGTCCTTAACCGGCTTCTCTTACTCTTCTGCTTCTTCTTCTCTGTCTGTCTCTTCTTACAAGATCCTTCTTTACTGAATTAAACATAACTTCCTTCATTATATACGGATCTTCCTTTCAATGTCAGATTAATGAGATCTTCGGTTTTCATAATTAGAGATGGAAATATAAGAATCTAATTCATGCATATTACTTCGAAAATCCAAATATTTTTGGCAAACAGAAGATATCTTAAAACTTCCATTAACATAAACGTCTTGACATCATCACTCTTGGTACTTCGAACCTCTAAAAGCCTCATATGCACTCCTCTCTATAACGCGTTAGGGTGTGTGTGAGCGCAAGCAAATCCTTTTTTGATTTTTTAGTTTTAAAAACGAACCAATGAGCGCCCAAAACAATGTGAATGTTAATTCCGTCAGCCGTGTTTACCACAACGAAAATTAATGAATTGATTTATGAAATTCGACTTGCTGTACAAAGATAGTGCAAATGAGAAGAAAACCAGAAAAGCCTGGAGGAACAAGAAGATGAAGACGAAAATGAACAACGGCGACGACTGAAACAACGAAAACAGTCAACAAGGTTCCAATAATATCTTTTTCGGAAGTTTTGTAAACTTCACCGCCAACTCCTTATTCGATTGCACAATTGGAATGGACGAGGATCGAAGAAAACGACCTCATCCTCTTACTCTCTCTCTCTCTCTCTCTGGCATTAAAGGATATTTCTCTTTTAATTGAAGTTTATTGCTCTTAATTTCTCTCTTAAGCTCGAAGCATATTGTTTACACAGTCTCAATTAAATAAAAGCTTTATTTGAAGGGAAGAAAAACGTTCGTGATATGTTTTAAATTACTTAAAAGAAAGAAGCTCTACAAATTATAAGAAGCCATTGAAATGGACAATATTCTTCAAAGAAATTCAAGTTATGTCAGATATAACTGCAAACAATCAGTGTTTGAACTCATTTAAAACGTATACATCGAAGTTAGTAAGAATAGTGTATCACAAATAAATATAATATATAAGCAGATCTTCCAGAACGACAAGACGAATTAGACTACACATAGCCGTGTGTTATGATGATGAACATATATATAGATAGATATATATATACATTCTCATAGAATGATAAAATTTTAACAATAAAACCTTGTAAATTAGGAACTAGACACCACATGCAATCTTGAGCTTGAGTGAATCAGAATAAGCATTAATCGGTTCAAGAATATAGGGCACTCACTATAAAGGGTACGAACAGGTAAAAGCAGATTTCAATAAGTTAAGTACATACAAGCATTACAAAGTTTAAAACAGTCGAGTTTGAGATTTTACATGTTCAATATTGTCCACTCGTATTAAACACCAGTACTGACGACATTGTTCTACTCGCTTAAGAGCGCTTCAAAATAATATATATCTGAACGATTTGATAAGGGCGTCGCTTATCAAAGGATTCAGATGGGGGCTATAGCACAGAGTTATTCAAACTCTGTTGTCCCTCTTCCAAGGGACCCTGAACACGGGAACGTGCAAAGTCTTCGAAAATCAAATCATCGTAGTCAACTGGTCGACCATTTGATGGTTGCTCTCTGGAAACATTATATCTTCAAAATGTACCAACAAAAAACATTAGCTCACATGTCATCATTCAACTGTATCAAATCTATATCCAATGGATTAGGCTCACACGGTTGTGGGACTGACGGAACGGATCGCTCCTGAAGAAATATGAGAATACGAATTTAAAAGGAATGCAACAGTTCTGAGCGTCTCTCTCTAATGAGAAACTTGTCAATCATTTGTACTTACACGCTTTTCAGGTGTTTCGGCTGGCTTGGCATGAGTAAGAGTAAACGGAAGTTCCGCTACCAATTCTCCTCCACCTAATTTACTTCCGAAACCAGCAATAGTTGCTCTTATTTTAACCTAAAAAAGCAGAATGAATTTGTATCATTGTTTGCATTGTACCTTATATTGCACGCAAATTCCCAGGTTTTCTTTAGAAATTCCGGAATCGATACTGAAATTTTGTCTTGAACAACAATATATATGAAAACGGAACATACATTGTGCTAGATGCGAGATTAGTATCTTCATGCTTCAGCTGTCCATCTAAAGCTAACCCTCGTTTGTCTTTGTTATTTTTTAAAAGGGGGCATAGTGCATAAACTTTGGACATCGTGCCTCCAGCTCCTAAAGGAAAGCCCTCGCTGAAATGATGAAATGAGCGAAGATGAGAATGTTCAAGTTTACTTGCTATCAACTCTAGCTACTTCACATGTATAAGACGCTGTAGTGAAAAGGCATATATCAGCGACTTGAACTACACTAATCTGAACGAAAAGCAATTGAAAAGCTCCTCTCTCGAAATGCAAACCTTCATCTTCTTTACTGTTTTGCTACTATTATTTTGCAAGTGAACATTAACGGCAATTGATTCCCCATGATAATACGTCTGAAGAAAAACAGCATGATACTAATTTGAGAGATCTTTGCACCTCTTTATCTAATGAGGCCTCCATATGTAATAAACCAGGACTCATCATGAACTCCTTACACACTTCCACCATTGGTTGTGGTCTCGGTTCATAGGGCGCATAAGTTAATTTTCGGATCGCAAGCCTCACGCTACTCAAAGATCTTAAAAACAAAACAGTTATATAAACATATGGTCATAGCACATACTGCTTCTTTGATTTCTCGTTCACAGCATCTGGCCCCCCAACAACGGTTTTTAGCTCATAATCGACACCACATGGTTTACCAGTGTCGCCGGGAGCGGGCTGAACAAATTTTTTTTCCTCAAAAGAAGAACAATTTCATACTTGTAATGTTACACTGCTTGCACTGCGAGGGGGTATCTCAAACCAGAAAGGAAAAGCGTTAGGACCTAATTTTTTCATTAGTCGTTCTTGCAATCGAGTTAACGAACGCTGATTAGATTCAATAACTGGATAAACCTAAAACATTGGATAACACAACTTTCTTTCCACATAAAGTACCTGGAACGACTGCACGATAAGATCTTTACGAAAAGTAAGACCCAAAACATCCAAATCTTCACGTCCATATCGAAAAGCAGCTAGGAGATTGGCAGTTACTTTTTTTTCATCTTTTATGTATTCATCATCGATGAGAACCATACCATCTGAAATGATGTAGTCAGAATAGAAATGAAGGCATCAACATACCTATAAGATCTACATAGTCGCCTCGGTCGATGAAATCACGTTTTCCTAGATAAGTTGTGATTTTGCCATTAGGGCTGGCCTTTTTAAAAACTCTAAAAACTATGAATTTTTATTACGATTTTTTAAAAATTCTCGATGAAGAGACCTACCTTGTTCCGCCGCGTCGATCATCGTCGTTTCCAGGGGGCCCTCCCATACTAGTCATTTGTGCGATTTGATCTTTTGCTTACTATTCGATTCACACCTTTCTACTATAGAAAAGCAATTATCTCCATTCTGAAAACAAGGCATAAGCAATGCATAAAAGGAAAGGAAACTTCAGAAGTCACGAGTAAAAATAGAACTATCACGTGTAATTGAAGCATGTGTTTCAAGGTAAAGGCACAGTAGTAATGTATAATCAGACATGATGACACAATAGAAATGAAGAGTTTGGAGGCTATGTGAAGCAGGAGGGACAAAGACTAATTCCTAAGCTCTCCGTCAATTTGCTTCATACATGCCATATGAAACTCTTTCGCTAACTATAAAGAATACAGAATGTGTCATTAAACATGACAATACCATAAGAATAGAAACCATAAAAAAGCTTTTTCTCTCTCTTTTTCTGCCTATCAACCTCTGCCCCTTCCCTCCCTCCCTCTCTCTCTCCTCCCTCTCTCTCTCTCCCTCCTGCCTACATTTAATTTCTGCAAAAAATGCGCTTTCTTCTGGCCTATCGATCTAATGAGGCGGAATAACTTAAACTATTACATTTGAAACGGACATACAGAGTGACTAAGGACTCGTGTGTATGTGGAATGGGCTTATGAATTGGAATAACCCAAAACATAGTCCATGCTTTCCGAGAAAAGTGAGGAATAATAAATTATAGATCAAAACTCAAGTAAAATGAAAATGACAACGAAAAGGACTAAATAAGTGTAAAGAAAGGAATTGCAATAACGCCCAGGGCGACACACACAGCAGCATCCCATTTGGGAAGATGAATGGAAATCTAGGCTATACATACGGCAAGATGTCCATTAAATCAATAATAAATTACAAAGAAATTGGGCGTAAAGAAACATAAATGCATCCGATAGGGAGAAACAACAACATAAACTAATGAACGAAAGAAAAAAATAATTAGGCGCAATATTTCGCCAGTAATGGGAAGTCTTAACGCCATAGTTTAAAGGAAATCGATGGAAACTCCTATCATTAAAACGGAAACGCGAAATAGAGCTAGGAAGAGTTGAAATATGAACATGAAGGGTGCTGTCGACGTCAGAATAACACTCTTTTAAATGAATGTCCTGCAACATGATTGGAAAACCAATGGTTCGCTTCAATCACATGAGAGCCACGTTCTTTCGATTAGATTTTTTTTAGAAACATTAACGAGACAGTATGATCTAACGGAGAAGATGGGGAGCTCCTGGTCAATCTGCGAACAATGAGTGCTCAAAAAAAGCAAATAAGGGTTGAGAGGCAGGACTGGCAATGCGAGAGGAGCACAGGGTGCTTCCAGGAAAATGACGGTAAAGTAGGAAAAGTGCTTCATTAATGCGATCGAGCGGATAACTAAACAAAAAGTTACAATAACATGCACTTCACAGATGGAAGAGCTATGTTAGAATAGCTTCTCGTAAAGCGATGTGCAAGGTCAAGTATAAGTTTGGAATATCAGTGTGTGTAGCTATAACTCACTTAAGAAGAAGACGATGGAGTCACAAAGCACTAAATGTCGGAATCAATTAGGGGGCTCAATTATATGACATTGCTGCTATAAACTAAAAGCAGGATAGAGAGAGCACCAGGGAGAGACTTCTCTCTAGGTGACTGTCGTGGACTCTGAGCAAATTTGATATTCGTGGAAAGAATGAACGCGCTCAATCAAAAGGAATCGCGAAGAATGCTACAATTCTGTTCTGGTACGAGTTCATCTCGAGACATTGGAGAATACAGCTTAGATCGTTTGTATGCATAAGTGTCTACTACTAAACATAATAAGAAGTAATGACAATAGTGAAAAACAACTATATTCATAATCAAAAGCTATGGAAACCAGTTCAGAACTGCAAACTGTTCGCATAAACAGCAGAAATTTCTGTTTATATGACTTCATAGGATTACTGAGGGGATGAAGCTGAACTTCGTAATCTTTGGTTCCGCCTGGGAGAGCAGACAGCACAAAGGTAAAAAGAGGACAAATGAGAATAGATGAACGACATACTAAATGGAAGCGGAACAAACCTCCAAAAAAGCTATTTCTCAGACAACCACTATCGTGCTATGTGTTCGAGCCTTAAGATATGGCCATATACCCCCAGGGTGGCGTCTGTTTCTTTCAATCGCGTTAACAAAGGCGCGCGTTCCGTTTAGCAATGGAGCGTCTTTTGTTTCAAAAAAGAAGGGGAAGAAAAAAAAAGAAAAAAACCAAAGCAGTTGTTGCAAGCTTTTGTATTCTTTTTGCTTTGTTAGGACTTTTTGAAAATTAAGATCCAAGAGAATGTGTAAAGATTAGAAGTGTGGGAATGTTTCTCTTGAAGTCGTTTGTTTTGAACATAAAAGTGATAAGAAACAGCGAATTGTAAAATATTGATGAGATCAAAAGCGAAGACAGCAAGAAGTTACCTTTGTTGAGCACAAGAGTTTGGTTTAAAACGCAACCAACCACATGCCGTCAGTTGAGCAAAATAAATGGATCGACTTTGACGTGACTTGACGTGCATTCATCAGAATTGGACTTGTAATGTCGTTTTCTCACATATCGATACAATATGGGTAACATTTAGAATGAAAGAGACATTCATAGCGAGTAAACAGGCTGTGATAACAAAGAATATATATATGAAAGTATATATATTTTATATACAAGCACAGCCACATGAATAAGAAAGATATCTAGTGGCGACATTGAATTGGCTTAAAAGGACCGTGTCCTATGGCTCGCCGATGCCTTTTTCTGTTGAAGAAAGAATAGCAGCAGCAGTTGAAGATAACAGACTGATGATAATTATAGTTGGAAAACAGCCCTTTCTCTCTTTTTTTCTCTTCTCCAACTTCGTTCTTCGGATCATTATTTGACGAAACTTGCACTACGCATTGATTCGTCTCTCCTTTTAACTTTCTTATCAACACTGTTGCTGTTTTTACATCACCTGTTTTCCTTTACACCACACACACGCATATAGACGCTCTCATAATGATGTCTCAATAGCCTTCTCTCTCTCTCTCTATGTCTCTCTCTCTCACACTCAATTTAGTTTTCAGAAAATGGACAAAATCCTACGTGGAGTTATCAAGTATCGGCAGACGGTACGCAAGGATTTAGTGAAACAATTCAAAGAAATTCAGGATAATCCGAGTGTAAATCTCTTCATTTTTCGAAATTTTCCAATTGCTTTTATAGCCGACAGCAGTCATGTTCACATGTATGGATTCCCGAATGCTTCCAACACGTTTCACACAATCACGAGTCGGTGATATGTTTGTCGTGCGAAATGCAGGCAATATGATTCCTGATTCTGCCAATTATGGTACAACTGTTGTTTTTTACTCAAATCTGTTTGTTTTGAAGGTTTTGGCTCTGAAGTTTCAGTCACAACAGAACCTGCCGCATTAGAACTTGCAGTCAAGAGAGGGGGTATTCGTCATGTCTTAGTTTGTGGACATTCAGACTGTAAAGTCAGTCCTTCAAGAGAAATCACAGTCTAACAATTGTTTGAAGGCAATGAATCTGTTATACCAAATCAACCAAAACAAGAGCAATTTTGATTCTTGCTCACCTATGGACCACTGGGTACGTCGAAATGGCTATTTATCTATGAAACGGTTTCTCCTCTGCTTTTATCTCAAAAATGGCTCTTGTGGGTTTGCAGGCTGCACGAACGATTACACATTGGACCCGATGTTATGAGATTTGAAAGCGAAATAGCTCCTTCGCAAAGTTTTGATGCTATTATCGACCCTCTTGATAAGTTGCCACCTGAGGGAAAGCTTTCACAAGTCTGAGCGTTCTTTGGTTAGACTAATTCCAATCCTCTTTTCAGATAAATGTCCTTCAACAAGTTATGAATGTGGCTTCCCACAGATTCCTACAAACATATTTTGAAACAGGTAAGAATGTTATTGTTTCACTCCGGCATTTCAAACTTTCAGGACGGTTGTTTGTTCACGCCATGTGGTTCGACGTATATGAAGGAGAAGATTATTTATTTTCTCGCGAAAAACGATCTTTCATTCCAATAAATGTAAAGATTTTCCTGAATCGCGAATGAATCCCTTTTTTGCAGGAAAACACCGTGGAATCGCTTTCGGCTGAATTGGATAGGCGCTGCGGAGAAGCCCCAGATATAACAGATATCATTCAAGATAAGAAAGCTGTGAGCAACTAGAAACGAAAATTAGTTCAATTGAGGGTAAAAGAAATGTGCCGATGACAACATTCAACGGGTTTGTATATTCCATAGGGCATTCTTGTACTAATATCTTCTTAAATACAAATCACGATGGGCATCTATCCTGCCAACGTTAGGGTTCAATTGTTGTGACTTAGAACTGAATAGGTAATAGATTAAAGCAGAAGCTTGAGAACCACACCTTCCTCTCGTCTTGTTTTGTATCTTTTTTTCTCGTTTTTGAATTAAACGGTCTCTCTGTTCACTTCGCTCTTCGATTTTATGTAGGCTTGTACTGAAATAATGATGTTAGTTGTTTGTTTACGGAAGATCTTTGGCCTCATGGAGTTCACCTCGTATCAATAGCATTATCAGGCAGAAAATACCAAGTATCTCTAAAACAACGTTCACACTACTTCCAAAGAACCGGTTGTACCTGAAAGTTTGACCAGCCGGAATAAGCACATAGGCTCCTCGCGTCATAAGCTCGGACACATCATTGATCTTCTTTCCATCCATATTGCAAAGTCTATTTCAGAGTATTGATATCAAATGGATAGTTACACTCACTTCAATGGATTGACTTGATATTTTCGAGCAACGAGCTCAAGTACGTAATGCATACCCTTTGCTAGTTGATTTCTTTGAAAATTAATATACTGGCATTCCATGCCTTGACCATTCATGAAAACACTAGAAGCAATAGATTGAGTTTGTTGTTCACCTACAAGTCCTTACTATATGATATATGCTTCAGGATGTGTTTGGTCTCTCCGGTTGTAAATAACAGCACTGTTCGATCTTATTCGATTAGCCAACTTCCTATGAAGCTAGGAGATGATAGGAAGAGAAAGCTTTCCTACTCTTTATGCTTATGTAAGTTCTGCCGATCTTTCTCCTGCCAATGATGATGATCGAAATCGGAAAACGCCTCCACGGGCTCTTCATGAGCGCTACGGGAACGATGCACGGCTTAAAAAATAAATTTTCTCCATCAGATTATGTCGTTCCTACCTACATCTTTTCTCTGTTTTCTCTTAGTCTGTTCTGTAAACAAATTGTTTATGGTATAAGCTACTTGTGAAAAAAACAAAACGAGTGAGAAAAGCACAGCAAAGAAAAAAACACAAACGTTGGGTTTTTTGGGAAGTTTTCCTCATAGCTAGCTGATACACACTTTCAAACTCTTTTAGGTCTTTTGCAAAACTGTTGTTACTGATTCTTTTCTTTTTCGAATTGCTGTCGAAATTCCGAAAAGAAACCTGTAACGAGTGAACCGCGCTATAACTCTTAACAAAGTACCTGATTATTCCACGTTGGAGTATATGCATACAAATTTTCCTGAGAACTAAACAAGGGGTAGGAAGGTTGAGGTGGAGGGGTTGGTGGATAGGATACTTCAACCATCAAACGGTGAGAAAGTGTTGCAGCTTCTTATCTTACCTGGTTCATATAAAGTACTTCTAGATTGAGCGTAAAATTCCGGTGCTGACAAAGATGTGTGGCGGTTCCTGCAAGTATAAGGTAAAATTTATTTTTAACAAATCCTCATCAGCGAACTGCGCAACCGTTATCAAACTTTGAAATAAGACTGAATTAGCATATACGTAGCTTCAAATACACGTGGAGTAACACACGTGGAGTTTCCGTGAAAAGCGGAAGTATATACGTGGTATGCTAATGAGATGCTTTCTCAACTAAACGCATTACTCACTTATCGGTACTCGTTGATTTGATATGATTAGGGCTTTCATCTTCATAGTCAGAATCTGGTCTAGAATATAATACAATTATGGGTGGAAAGTTGAGAGCCTACATCAGTAGTGATTCATCTCCAGTAACATAATAAGTGGCTAACTCTTTCAAGTCCTCCGTTCTTGAGATTCGATAACCATTACTGAACATAATTCAATTGCAACAATTCATTGTGAAGATGAACCTATCAAATATGCTTGTAATTTCCATCGTTCCCAAGAAAGTTGTAAGCTCAGACAAAAGGTTTTGCATTCCAGGGCTTTTCCATTCTCTCCACACAAAGAGCTTAGGTCTAGAAACAAGTAAGCGTGAAAGAAAATAATGAAGTTGAGGCTACTTCTTCCTAAAGCTTTCTCCATTTTTTTTGATGAAAAACTTCTTCACCACAGGCTTTGGAGTTCTGAACGAAACTGAAAACTGGATTACTCTGTCAAGGAAGCAAACCGATTTTCTATTCTCTCTGACTCATGCCGCTGATATTGACCACGCTTTCGTTTGTTCAATTCCAAGTATGAAACATCATTGTAGGGATCATAGAAGGGATTAACTACAAATAAATGTAGAGGATATGTCCTCAAGAACACCCACCTGACATCCACTACTATCTTTCGGGTACACTGAAGGATGACACTACAAACGTCACAACTAACATTTCCAATACTCCCGTTGCCAGGAGATTCAGTTGGAGTATAGTTGAACAAAGGATTTCATTAGGGATATACCTCAAACATTACAGAAAGTTGGAAATTGGATGATTTAATTATAGTTATTGAATTTTCTTAACAAAGTATTTGACGTGTTCAGTCATAATCCGATGAATGGTAAAACCGCAGTTCAGACAATCAGTGGGAGAAACCAAACCCATTCTTGGAGTAAATCTCTAAGCGGTCAAAAGTTATAAACAGTTTATTAGACAGCGTATAATATAGTTAACTCTCTACTCCTATCAATCAAATAAGAAGTCTATTGAGCTTGAGCTTGGACTGCGGCAGCAGATTCTAAAAGGGCAGACACGAAACGATGGCAATCAACGTAATTGTTGTACAAGTGGACAGGCGATATCCGGATGACGAAAGGATACCGTTTATCAATCTGAATGACTCAATTGAAAACGAGAAACAGGATGCAAAACTTACTGCACATCCTCTCTTGACCAATTCGGAGTAGATTGCATCGATTGGTATGTTGAACTTCAGCGAGAGCTGACAACCTCTTTGATGGAAGTTGGAAGGTGTTATGATTTCGCATGAAATATTCCCGACTCTGGAGAGTTATCATATAAAAGCGATGCAAAGAGAAGATTTCTCACCTATGTGGTGAATCAGGAGCGAAGTGATGGTTTATCAGATACTCCAGGTATCCGGTTAAATAACAAGATCTACTACGAAGATCCTCTAGCTTGACAGTACTTAATACTTCCAATATTCCCATTATAGGAACAACAAGAAGGATAGGAGGGTTGCTGATTCTGTAACCAGCAGCTCCTTCATCCAAATCGAGAACTGAAACCGATGTATGATATCCTGATACTAGGCTTAAAGCACAAACCATTGTCCATAATAAAACGACTGGACATCTTGTGACTCCACCAACCCAGCATTCTGTCTCTCTTATCGTTCTTGAAGCTGAAAAGCTATCTGAACTATGATATCTATGACAGACGGAACCGTTCATGAACGAAGAGACCAGCTATGCCTCCTGCTCCAGTACAACCATACTTGTAAGAGCACCATGCTGCGAAGTCCACATCCCAATAATGCAGTTGGAGAGGTACATTGATGAAAGCATGGGCTAAATCGAATCCTACCAGGCATCCCTTCAATTAAACGTTCAAGTTTCGTTTGTTTATGTTGTTTGAAGACTGCTTCACTCACTTTACGATGTCCTGCCTCGGTGATACTTTTCATGTCAAACAATTGGCCAGTGTAATACTGAACACCAGCAAACCAAATAACAGCTATCTGAAACACGATTAAAACATTGTTGTCTGAGAAACACTCACCTCATCTCCATGCTTTTCGATGTAGTCAATGATGTCTTCATCCCGAAGTATGTCTTCTCCCTCGCGAGGACTCAAGCAAACCTAAACAACCTGATGAAACCATGTTGGTGCCTTCCGCGTATACCAGACTCTCTTCGACTGTTCTTCCTTTCAATCGAATTTGAGATTCAACAGCGTAATGATCGGAAGGGAAAGCTTTAGATTCTATGAGAATCTTATGTCTCGTATCTGTAGGACGGTAGAATGCTGACTGTAAGAGAATAAGTTCCCGAAACTATGTTTCTTGCTCACCAGAAGAACATGGATGTTGACTGTTAAACCATTACAAATAGCTACTTCCTCTTCCTTGGCTCCCACTAACTGAGCCACTCCAGGGACACCTTTCTCGTCACAATGGGCCCAAGGTAAATCGCCAGTCGTATGACCCACAACTCCTCTAAAACCATATGGTAAGAGAATATATCTTTCAAAGGGAAAAGTCAGGCTTACAGTTCTGACCATTTCTTCAATTGCTCTTGCATGATTCTCTCAGTGGGCTTAGGCAAGAGTCCCAAAGAATGCCCACAAAGATAAACGGATTCAGATTCAAGATCACAGAAGTCAGGATTACCTTGAAGCGAGAAATATAATCCACCTTCGTCTTTGCCTTTAACTCACTATCAGGTAGGGTCTTGCATTTTGGATAGTGGAACTGCTCCCTCAGGTGTTTGAGTGGATCAGTTTCAGTGAGATACTGGGCAAACTCTAAGCTTGCAAAATCTTCGATCTCAGACCGCTAAACTTATTTGAGGAAAAGTTATCGAATTGGACAAACCTTGGAGGTTTCTTGAAGAAACTGAAGAACTTGGTCAGCTGTGTTACTTGGGGCACTATCGGCTGCCATGTCTGGTGAAACTGATTTGAACCTGAGTGTAAAGACGTGACAATCTTAAGAAACCATTAGAACAAGCAAACGCATGAAATTGAAAAAGAAAATAGTTTGAAAAATCCGTGGTCGTCTTCATTGGGAAGAATGATAGTTTTTGAAATTCAAGCGGCGACTAGTTCGACTAGTTCCTGCTTCATCAACTTTTCAACTGGCCGTTCAGTGTAATTTTTACTAAAAATCAATGTGTCTACAAAAAAGGATGTCTAATGATAAAGGCACAACTTGATAGAAAAATAAAAAATGCATTATACACCAGCACAAGTATATCAAGATCTCAACAAAACTTATCAATACAATCTCTCTTAAATAATACCTTTCTCTCGTGTCAGTTTTATGATCATTATGATACAATCAATTACATAGAAGATATATAGGCTATGGCAATATCAAGGGCAGCAGAGCCAGCGGAAATATGTACATAAAACTCAATTCACTAGCAACTCATATCACACTAACCGCCACGTGGTTCGAATGCTCAAATCGTTAAACCTAGGGCAATATGGAATTCATCATGCCGGATTTATGTGATTCTTGAAACACGAACTTCTTCCAAACATCCGAAACACTTATATCATACACAACATAACGTCCTTCACAATCGGATACACCAATCAAGACACTGTAGTTCTTGGGAATGGCGTATAACCTCTCGCTAGCTGGAAGAGATGTAAACTTTTCATATGGGTATACTTCAGATTCCTGAAAGAGCTCTGATCAGGTATACCATACTGTGTTTCTAACCTTAAGTCCAGTCTTGTTACTAAATGCATATAAGAGAACTTGGCCACGTAAGTGAAGGGTGATGATCACGGTGAAATGTGAAAAGTTAACTATTGATGTCGCTATAACCGGCCATCCGAAATGCCGCAAAACTTTTTCCTGATTATTTGCTGAAAAATCAATCATGTTACCAGTGCATCACGTAAACTTTATGTTAATTAGCATAGCGCGTTCCCGTGAAACCATTTTCTACTGATTAGACGCAGAGAGCGGTTGCATCCTTGTTTTAAAAAAAATTTAGAATATGGTTAGCCATGTCCGTCCTTATGATCTATTCGACTCACAAACTATAACAACATGGTTGATAAGTGATCCTAGAACACTGGTGAAATCTGTTTTAGCAGGAATAGCCATTAACGCTCGATCTCGATAGCAGTTGTGCCGGCAGATATTCACTTCCGATTTACCTGGAGAATACTTGTTTTTGTTATTGCTCCAATGGTTACCTGAGAGAGGCAAGCATGCATAGTATGTGTTATCCAATTGTGATAACCATACTTCCATTTTCCTGTTCATTCTAGAAGTTCGAAGATGTGAAGGTATCAATGAGAACAGTACCCTTCGCCTATTCCGAAAGCAGTTATTTGGCATGGCACTTCCCATTTGTTGATGGGAAGCAACCTCTTGTCATTTTGACTCCAACGAAAAGTCCTAACTGGAAGTAAGAATATGAGAGTTGAGTATGAGCTTAACTTGACTTGCCTACTCTATCAGTGAGCACAGCTACTAACTCCTGGTGATTATCCTTGTCTATATCAGTGATGAATGCCGTCGTGATGTTAGCCTGAAACTAGGTCATTCTCATATGATTTCATGAATTTCAACCTGTAATCTCTGTTCGAAAACGAGATCCGGCACCCAAGTTCCAACTAAATTAGGAGGATTAAGGGCTACAGTGGTTCCATCGGCACATATGGCTACCACTTCCGGTCTAAAAGATAACACCACAATCGAAGACTCTTGCTATGTATGGGAATAACCCTTCTTGTGATGTTATTTTGCCGAAAGCTAGAGCTGTTACTGGTGATGACGAACTAATCTCATGCTTGGATATATCGGAAGTTTCTTTCGTATCATCAAGAGGTATGAATAAAACCTGAAAGAGAAGGGAGAGGTGTTAGTATTCTGACGTCAACTCACTTCGCCGTTAGTCGTTCCGAGAATTAAAAAAGTATTTTTATTGTCCTGAGAATAGAAAAGTAAAAGAGATGTCACTTGGCGTCGAATTATTTCATATGTATTATTCATATCATTCTTCCCTGTTGTGTTACCTTTGGAGGTTTGGGATCTACATAAGGCTGTTGGACAGTCGTTCAGAATATCACTAGCATATATAGTCATCGGACATATTGAAACGCAATCATTTATTTCAGGAACCATCTAAGAGATCCAGTTCGACGACCAATCATGGGTACAACATCAAATAACTAGGGACGAAACCCATTTGTATGTCAATGGATCGCGGAAAAGTTTATTAACAACCAACAATAATGAACTAATGAATAATGCTTAACTGTGATCGAACATCAAGTTGTGAACACCTTTGCTCATTTGACGAGCTGACTCATACTTGTCTCCCAATAAGGCTCTTTCTTCTTTTTCCAACTTCTTCCTTCTTCTTTTCCCGTTCATTGTTTTGGATGATACACCTGCGAATGTGACAGGAACGTTAGCCTTCATCTTCTTCTTCTTGCAGGAAAGTGGATTGACACCCTGCAAAGCTTGGAATGTAAGACATGATGCGGCTAGAACTACCCACCCTAAGCTTTTTGACTTTTTTTATTTTCTCCACTTCTCCTAAGACCGTTCTTTTTAAGTCGGTCAATTTCGCTATTTCTGGGTCCTCTGCTTTCGCTTCATTCACTGAGACCTGTAAACTCATTTGTAAGAACGATGCTCTTGTCCTGCTCTCACTAACCTCTGATGGCTTCTGGAGAATGATTGAAGTACCATTGATATATATAACTGGAGCACCTGGGACGGAATGAATCTTTTCGGTAAGTTCTGGATCCTGAAAATCATGTTCAACTGGCAAAGAGAACATATACGTACTTGTGTGGCGTAGATGAATTTCGTTCCTTTTGTTTTTGCTTTTTTAGCAAGACGGATAAAACAATCATTAGCACCTTTGAAAGGTGTATGAGGACAATGGACTACATCGAAATGACGGCATAGGGCAAGAGCTCCATAAACATCAGGTCCAATTTGTTCTGAAATTGAAGATGTCTACAAGACCATACGACAGAGGAACTAACCGAGCTCTTGCATAACGCATCGTGTGGTCACAACATGAGTTTCGCCTCCTAAATACTTTGAAAGTTGTTCTCGTAAATTAAGTTTGTTGATCAAAGCTGCCATACAAAATGTACCATCGACTAGTATTCTGAAGAAGAGGATGTTCCAAGGATTCAATTACAACCTACTTGAATGGAGCTGCGATTTTATAATGATGTTTATAGAAGTTCAAGATTTTAGCCGCGCGTTTAACTCTCTTGACTTTCATCTTTTACTTTGCTTTTTTGACCTGGAAACAGCTCATGAGGTTTGTAGGTCTTTGTAGGAACGAACTTGTTCACGGAAACAAGCAATAAGTTTCTGAAATTCTTTGGAGCAAGCGTCTTTGCGGACTCGTTCTGCTTGTGTGGATACGCAATTACCGTAAGATAGAGCCTGCAAAGAATTGTATGTAAGGGAGCAGCAATGGGCAAAGAAACACTCGAGGATTCAATGAGATAAAACTCTGACCTCAGGTGTACAATGTGTCAACGGAGCTGCGAATTTCAAAAGGCGTTGCTCATTTGGCATTACAGTCTATTCGTTCTCCGTGTTAATTGATCAAAGGAACAAACACAAGTATGGACAACGCTTGCACGTGAGACATGTGGTATGGGGGGAACAAAAAAAAGAACTTTATTACACGGAATCTATGGAATGATATGTACACGTGAGAAAGGTATGTATGGCAAGATATCTTATGGAATTTGTAAAACTGTTCGTTAAAAGCTTATTAATCTTTGTAAGTTTTGAAAACCATTTGGGAGAAGGAATGTAGTTCCGAAGAGCAAAGGGAATTCTTCAAAGGTCCATCGTAAGAAGTTGATCCAACATCTTCAAATGCATCGGATATGATTGGAATGTTACGAGCTAGCTTCTCTGACTCGTTCGATAGTTTCTGAAACACAGTAAGTTGTAGCACTATGAGCCTGTTCATGAACTTACTCTACAAGATGCTGAATAGTAGAAATCCAGCAGATGGTACAGAATGAAAGTACAGTCGGAAGTGTTTAGGTAACCCACTAGCTTCAAGAGCAATTTGACGATTTCATCCGATGAGTCCATCTGAAATTATAATAGTTGACTCAGATTTGGAAATGTGGGGTACATCTTCAGGAATAGGAGCAATCAGTTTCCAAAGCTCTCCTTCGAGTTTGGGGCTGATCTCTTGGTCGAAACAATCGAACAAATGACGGATGGAGTGTCTTAAAGCAGCTGATGAGCGTTACGGCTTCGGTAAGCCTAACCTATCTGAGTCGACAACCAAGGAAAGTTTCACACAGATCTTCTCGATGGCGTTCTCTACCATGTCGAACAACTTGTAAATACCTACAACAAATAATGAAAATTATCCAGACCGCTAACCTCATACCTGAAGAAGTAAAAAACTGAATACATTTGAGGAATGTTTGTTTGCTTCCTGCAGTATCAAGTCCCTGGTCTTCAGATTTGTCAAACATGGTAGTTAACTTGTTGTACCTGAAATGAAGACATTGACTCTCCGAAAGAAATAGGAATGATCACCACGATGTCTCATCTTTCTTGGGCTGCTCAATTTGATTGCAGATGACAGCGGTTAATATCGAAAACTGTATTTTCAGAACGATAGTGAGTATGGAGAAAGAATAAGATAGAGCGACAATCCGAGCGAAACTGTTGACTTTGATTTTCTCCCAAAGCTTGATTTTCTCCGCGTTTTCCATACTCTCATCGGTTTGAATCCTCAAGATGTAACTGTCAACTTCAAATCTTTTCTATAAGAATAGGCTTTTTTAGATGGCTTGAAGACATTGCTAAACCTCTACAAGAGAAAACAAATTCTTGGCTAAATCACGAATGGAATCGTCACACGTGCTATGGTTCGAGTCATAAACGTAGCGCCTTCTGTTCTTAAATTCAAAGAAAGTTATTGGACGATCGTTGAATCACCTTTTTCTGAATAAGCTCATCATCAGAAACGACATGCTGTTGCTCATGTTTATGGTAAGACATGGCACCCACAACTCCGCCAACAACTACTCCTCCGAAAATAATTTTTTTCTTATGCTGTCTCACAAAATCCCAAACAGCCAACATGTTCTATAGAAGGATTATGCAAATGGGAGCGAGTAGTATTCAAAGATAAGTCGTCGATACACGAAACGAATCACAACCAACAGTGCAACGACATACCATTATAACAATTTATAAAGTGTCCAGTATGAAAAAATCCACCAAAAAAACGATTAACAACATGTTAACATGAAGCAGAAAAAATAACAAGGTTTATCTCAATTGTCACTTCTGGAATTTCGATATAAAGCAACTAATCTCAATTATAATTATGATCTCTCAGGTAAGTCAACAGCACTTATGGAAAGCTTGGCCTGAAACGGAAATTATAGTCTCAGGGGAGAGAGATTGATGTCGATTCAAACCTTAACGGTACTTCCACTCTTCTTCTGACAACTGTCGTGATCTTCATAACGTAAAATATCGAACAATGGATTTGGCATATTCTTAGGAACATCAGCAGACAAAAGTTTTTGCTTCAACACTTGTCTAAATGAAAGGTCAGAAGGTTATCTGTTGCTATCGGTTGCTAGCATACCCAATTCTCATGTTTACTTCTTCAGCATTGCAATCTTTAGTCCAAACACTAATCTAAATAAGAAGTTTACAAACATCTCTGATAAGGGATGTGTCTTACCTTGCTTCCTTTAGATCTGACGTTGCATACAAGACCACAAATGTATTCCATATCTTCTCCGAATTGCTCTCCAATCATGGCAATCAGAATTTCCAACCAAATCAAATCCATAAGTTCAGCGGGTCGATTTTTATCGATCTATGGTGATGAACTTGACTTGCTAATTGATCATCTGCACTTACATTAATAAGCCAACGGCCTCCGTTTTGATTCTGAGGAACTTCCCACATAGGTTGAATGTTCTCTTTGAAAACATTATAATCGCAGGTACTGCTCAAACCACTAGGAGGTCTAATATTATTGTATAGACTGCAACGTTATGAATTAGAGAACTATCGGGAGAACACAACATACGCCCAGAACTCTTCAACAGTCTTGAAAGTGCATACAGGCTTCAAACGGTCTTCCCAATCAGAAGAACGATCATCATTAAGGTACCAGTATGTCCAAGTCCTCATGAGAGGGTGGAGACTCTCCTGATGGTCATAATGTTTTGAACACCTTGTAAAAAGAAACTTACAACTGTCCTAGGAAGGGAAACAACTCCCTGGTCATCGGATTCTTTTTTCGCTACGTCAGCCATTATATGCTTTAAAATACCTTAAAATTGAATATTTCACAATTATAAAAACATAGAGCATTTAAAATATGTGGAAATAGTATTTTAACCATCTTCAGTTTTAACACTGGACAAAATAATTTTAAAGGTCTAAACCGCACTGATCTTACACCGATAGGGTTGACGTCAAAAAGGATGATTTGAATTCCACTCTAGTCTTATATTTTATAGAAAATATTAAAGGATAGATGTTTTGTATGAATGTCAAAGTAAAATACCACATATGATTACATTTGTTTTATGCCCTATATTCTAATTAGCCGCTTATGACACGTACGCGTGCGAACCGGCGTTCATTTTATTCTGTTTGTTGCGCGAATGCGGTTGTGCTCATGTTACTTCTTGAATGAACTCTAATTCTGTTTTTTGCAGTTATGTTCCGAAACCTTTATGACAGTGACGTTACTGTGTGGAGTCCACAGGTTTTTAGCTTTTTTCTATATTTTTTAAATGCTTAAAACTTTAGGGTCGTCTCCATCAAGTTGATTATGCCGTTGAGGCTATGAAGCAAGGATCGGCTACTGTCGGTATTAAGAGTGAAACTCATGCCGTTTTGGTAGCTCTCAAGGTTCGTATAGTAGATTTCTCCTCTTTTTCATTGTTTTGTTAAAGAGAGCACAAAACGAACTCTGTTCTCACCAAAAGAAAATCTATGAGATTGATACACATGCTGGTGTTTCAATTGCTGGACTTCTTTCTGATGGTCGCATTCTGGCCAGGTTTGCTTGTTTTCGGTGACATGATATCATTTCCGCTTTTAAGATATTTGCAAACTGAATGCAGTAGCTGGAGATGGGACTATAAGGTTCCCGTACCTATCAATGCACTCTCAGAGTCCGTTCAGCTTAGTGAGTACTGATTCGTAATTGGATAATACCATAGATATTAAGAGCTACAAGCAAACACTCAATATTATGGAAGAAGACCTTTCGGAGTCGGTTTACTGATTGCTGGATACGATGTTAGTGGCTTGAAAATTGAATTTTTATTTCCTGTTTTGTTTCAGAAGGATGGAACTCACATTGTTCAAACCGATCCATCAGCTGAAGTTGTTGAGATGTACGCATCCTCCATTGGTGCTCGCTCTCAATCTGCCAGAACTTATTTGGAAAGAAATCTCACAAAGTTCAAGGATGGTTTGTTTTTAATTATCTTAGTCCTATTAAGTGTTTTTGTTTCCAGCTAATGTTGAAGAACTAATTCAGCATGCTTTAATGGCTTTGAGAGATACCCTCCCAGCAGAGGAAAACTTAAATAGCCAGGTTGGTTTCTCTTCGCATTCTTCTCTGCCGTTTGTTTTTCCGTTTAAGTCTGTTTATGTTTTAGAATACTTCAATCTCCATTGTCGGAAAGGGTCAGCCTTTCAAGATCTTGGAAGAATCAGAGAACGCTGCTCACTTAGAACGTATTTCTGCAGTTCCTCGTACATCTGCTCAAGCTGAGGTTAGTTCCATTTGTGAGTACTCCAGCTAAACAGTCTCATTCCAGCCTGGACCTGAACCAATGCAACAATAAAATGTTCATACAATCTCGCTATCCTCGTGATTAAGCTATTTCCGAACGGTGTAATTTATTAAAGCTGGAAAGCCTTTATGTTATTTTAATGAAAGTTATTCACAGCCCATTTCTATAAAGTTTTGTTCCATTTCGGTTTTATCAAGTCTTCTTCGAATTTTAAAAACAATGCACAAGGTTTCGTTGATAGCGGGGGAGTTCCATCCTTTGGAAGTGGGG